ACAGATGCAACACAAAGTGCTTTACAGTTTGGCTAAACTGTAAAGCAGATCATTTTGCACCATTCATTTAAACAGCCTCTTCGAACAGCTGGCGGTTTGTTTGTATCCGAGCAATGAACCGTAAGTGCCTCTAGGACGAGACTTTCCAGCCCATAGACAACAACTTTTATCTTATCGAGGAGGCGTGGCCGACCCCGTTGATAGGTATGAGTCATCATTTCAGACGCTGTGATTGGTAGATCCTAAAAGTCAGACAGAAAACATATTTTTCATGATAATGAGCAAAATAAGGCCCTAAAATGAACAAACTCAATCATGGAATCTAATCTTAGGAAGACTGTGTCATAGTAAATAATAGTCAGAAAAGGTTGAAAGTCAGATATATCAATGTCAAATGAATACTGTGAATAGTAAGTTAGACTTTTACACCTCATCATAAGAGCTTGCTCAGTACATATTTAACACACGTATATAACATGAGCACTTAAATATATATATATATATATATATATATTACAGTATGTATATATATATATATATATATATATATATATATATATATACAGCATTTATATTATATAAGTTAAGTTAATTCAGAATGATAAATAGAGGGTGGGAGTTTTAAAGTTTTAAGTTCTTCACACTCTGGAACTGGATTTTTGTTAATAAAACAAAACTGTATATTTGTACTTTTCTATTCTTTTGTTGTTTTGTTTGTTGTTGTCCTTTTGTCTTGTTTGCCATGGCCCACAAAGTTAGTATTCATTCATACTGAATGTGTGAAAATGTAGGCCCACTTGCACAGTATTAACACAATAATAGTTATATTTACTTTCTTTGTGGTTTTAAATATACCACAAACATGATTCCTGCTCGACTCAATCTGTCGCGTTTTACTGATTCGCTGTCATCCAGTGTATAGAATATTTCTCCTGCCTCTACCGTCCACCATTTTGTCCTCTTAGGGAACTTTAAATTTGCTAAAAGTCCTCCTCAACTCTTAAGGGATCTCACCTTAGGAGCTCTCTTAAGAGCTAGGATTCTTTAGGAATAGTTTTTTTTCTTAACTAGGATCTACTCCTCACTTTTAGGGGAAATTCTAAGAGTAGGTCAAGATTCTAAGAAAATTCTTAGAATTTGGCCACTAGGAGCAACTTTTAACACTAAGAATCTTTAGGAATACGGCCCCTGATGTTTACATTCTTAATTACAGTCTTAATTATGAAAACCCAAAAACGAGGCTTCTGTAACGGACTTTCTCTATTATAACAATTGTATCAGCGATAATCATTCGTTTTCACAAAGTGATATTTCATGTCACAAAACATCACATGTATGTAACAATGCACATATATGGATTAAATGATTATTATCTATGATTCATATATTTGTTATGGCCCTCGTTTGTGCATCACTTAAAAGTAATTTGTATCAGGCCTAAATGTAATAACGTGTGTTTGCTGATGAGAAAGGAACAATCATGGTTCTATAATATCTGTAAAATGGAGTTGAACACAGGAGAGGAAGTCTTGAAAAGCAACACGAGTTTAATGTATTCAATTAGAAGTATAAGTACTGCTGACAAATATGTACCTGTGTAAATAATACCTCACTTTTCATGACACTTTACACTTCAGACACAAAATCATAATGAAGCCAACAAGTTTGATTTTTTTTCATCTTTTATTTCAAGGTTCTATGAAGTGCACACTGTAGAGACCTTTGTCAGAGGCAGACGCCCAGGACTCTGCTGTCGCTCCTGCTGCTGCTCCTGCTGCTGCTCCTGCTGCTGCTCCTGCTGCTGCTCCTGCTGCTGCTCCTGCTCCTGCTGCTGCTCCTGCTGTTGCTCCTGCTCCTGCTGCTCCTCGTCTTCAGAGATGCAGAGCCCACTGTTCTAACTATTCATGACTGATTATTAAATACATGTGTTGTAGTTCATATTGTAAATCTGTAGTGAAGCAGGAGGTGATGGAGTTGAAGCAGGAGGGGATGGAGTTGAAGCAGGAGGGGATGGAGTTGAAGCAGGAGGGGATGGAGGTGAAGCTGGAGAAACGATGGTGTGTGATTTTGTTGCTGTCAGAGAAAGTCAGAGTTCCATTTCTCCAGTAGCCTCTGAAAAATAACACAAACATCATATTAACACATGGACCCCAAAAAATAAAATACAGAAATCCGTCCTGTATTAAATATTAGAAGTACAAGCTTTCACAGCAGGAGAAACAGACACAGGAGAAACACACACACACAGGAGAAACAGACGCAGGAGAAACACACACAGGAGAAACAGACACAGGAGAAACAGACACAGGCAGAGCTGGTGCTTGCCTTATTGGGGCCCTACACCTAATTCGCTTTCTTCCAAAACTTTCTCAATCATTATCTGAATCATTTCATTTTGAATTGACTAACCGAGATAATGGACATGTTTCCTTGTCCTTTACTTTGCTGACATAATTTTCCATGAAGTCGAAATTTGCATTAGCTCAACTTCTTTTAAAGTAAGTTTTCATTATCTGGCTCAAATAGAACATGAGATGAGCCTCTAAGTGCAAAGTTCCTTTCAGCCAGTGATTGAATGATGCAAATATGGCGCTTGAGGACATCTCGCCACCTCTTTCTTTCAATTTCCATGCTTGTCATATGAATATGATCAATTGTTTTTTCAATGCCCAATACGTTTATCAAGTTCTCTCCACTTGACCATGCTTGAGGTGTGTTCATTGCTGCTTTCATGGTGGTTGAGAATGGCATTGATATTTGACCAGTCATCTATATCTATACCATTGTTTTGTTTTTTTCATCCTTTTTAATAATCACCATGGTATTAATATATTAACTAAATATTGATATTAGTAGTGCATTATACTAACACTGTTTAACTTTAACAAAATTTAACAAAATACTTCTGATTACCAAAGGAAGCACGTTTACTTTGAAGGTGTCCACCTTAACCACAATTTTTTCATGACCCGAGGGATAACCTTTGCTAGTTTGCGTCTCAGCCTCTGCTCGTGCAACCTGCTCGTGCAACCTGCGCTTCTCACAAGTGCGAAACGCCTCTGGTTGAGCATGGCGGAAGTGTCTGGCGTGAGCCAGGCACGGCTTGGGGCCGCGCGGCTGGAGGGAGGGGAGGGTTGTAAGCGCGAGTACGTAACGTATGAGGATCATGGGGGACAGCAACTGACAACTTTAACAACCAATCACATGGGTGATTTCGGATAAGAAGGGCCTCGTAACTGCACGAGTGAGCGATGAGAGAAAAAGAAAAGAGTCTTGACTCCGGGGCCCTTCCAGCCGCGGGGCCCTACGCATACTGCGTAGTCTGCGGCGGCTCTGAGTGTGAGTGGACATTCTGAAGACCTCAGTCTCTAATTGTCCGTTCTCAAGTATGATGACCCACCTTACAATCCAGAAAGGCAAGTTCACTCTCCTTAGCATCCTCACCAGTGAAATTTATAAAAGGGTCCACCGAATTAATGTGTTCTGAAAATGTTTCCACTTCCTGTTTCTGGAACGTCATCAGAGTCTCAGCAGGAGGCCTGTCCCTGTGCTCCTCAGAGTCCCAGCAGGAGGCCTGTCCCTGTGCTCCTCAGAGTCCTCCTTGGTTCATATGGCACTAACATGTCACAGATGTACTTTGGTGTGAGGCCATGGAGCCCTTAACTGGACTCAGCTCTCAGAATTTGTCTTGACATTACATCAAACTTGAAAGAAAATCTTCTTCTGAATTAAAATAGCATAGATTGTTGGAAATATTATATGATGTATGCATTCAATTGTTGTTTCTGTGAAATGGACTGAATCAATATTGATTGAAGATGAATTGGTCGCTATGTAACATGAGTTCAAAATAAATGCAGATGCGTAATGTCTTTCTCACTTTTATATGTTCTCAAAGGTTTATGACAATCCTAAACAAAAGAACTCTAAACACATGAATGCACTACATTTGATAAGATGACAAGAGACTTCAGGATAACTCCAAGACAAAGGCAAAGAGCGACATCTAGTGGCATTAATGTGAATTACAATAATGAAATGGTCAGAAACATAAGTCCAGAAGGTATTTTGTTTCCTTGTAGCACTTAGAATGAATACTAATGCATTTTTATTTACCTCCACATAGATGCGATATAATACCAACAGTTTTTAAATCAATTCATGGATTTTTAATTCTGTTTCAATGGTGCAGAGTAGACCTACATCAGTCTTATCGTAACAATACAGCTAGGATTGTCCTCACATGAAAGTAAAACAATACAGTTCTCTTAAAGGGGCCGTGTCTTTAATGTGTCCACAGATAACAGGACATGTACATGTGTCATATTTATTCTTACATAAAAATACAAGGGACATGTTTACAGTATTTATTGTCAAACAGATTATCCAATCAGAGCAGAATGAAGCTCTCCTTTGGAACGCCAGTTTGTTTTTTATAAACACCAGAACTCTCATAATGAGGAAACTACTAGAATCCTGAGATATTCTCTCAAAAATGTTTAGTTTTTTTAGTTAATGATTTATGACTTTGTTTGTTTTTAATAAGTGCTAAAACGTGTTAATATAACTGGAATACAGAAAAATCCGTTTATTAAAAGGCTACCAGAGGCTAACTGCTGCGAGTAAACAGTGTTTCTATAGTAACTAGAACTGACCAGACTGAATCAGAACCAGGACATGGCTTTAACTGCCATGGAAAGAAAGCAACCAAACTACATTGAAACAGAAAAAAGTTACAAAGCTTTAAGACCAGTACAGTACATATGCTGAGTAAAACGCAAACTAAAAGCCATCAAATTAACTGCTCTGGGAGTCCTAGTGTTAACAGTTATATTTTACCAATTATTCCCACAAGCACAAAGATATATAGATCATGTATTTGTCACATACATATTTAACAACACAGTCAATCACATGTGGTAAAATAAATAATAACCAATACATCTGTCTTTGGTATGATTTGTTTCAGAGTAAATTACATCAATACAAATCTCTGTGTTTTATGGTACTGTTGCTGGATTGCAAATGATGGTAGCACCATTGCCCTTGGTTAGAGTTCCCCCCATGGTTCCCCCTTGAGGTGGAGCCACAGGTCTGGTCGGACTCGTCACGTTGGACCAGTCGTAGGCGATGTACTGGTGATACGGGTCATTAGAACTCTCCAGCTTTTTGGAGCGAATGTAGCTGAGCATTATTCCAAAAGTAAAGAAGCTGAACAAGCCAACCATAACGAGAACATACGCGAAGCCCGAGGACTGGGCTTTCTCTGCGGCCACCTGGTGCAAGGCATGCTGGGAAGTGTAGTTCTGCGGCCGTTGCGCGCTCGTGTTGTTTAGGCACAGCTGCAGAAAGGACAGCACGAGGGACTGCAGCTCTGTGGCGTTGAGGGACATGGCTGTGCTGACACCTGGTGGACGTGGACGGAACTGCACATGAGAGAAAAGGTTATCAGTTCAGTTTATTTATCGATATTTTTTACTTTGTCCGCTGTGGAGAGTAGCTTCAGTGACAGACTTATTCACCTTCGCTGTGTGGAGCAGAGGTTCCGCAGGTCTTTCCTTCCTGCTTCTGTCAGACTGTACAATGAGAACTTCTGAGCCTATACATGTCATCTCAGCTGTAACTAGCAAACTTTTCACTATAGATATATATCGATATATTGGTATTGAAGAATTTACATCTAGCTAAGAAAGATAGCTACTTATATTGTATTTTTTGTGTACTACCTGTGTGCTCTTACTACTGTCCTACATTGAAATTTCCCCACTATGAGACTAATAAAGGTGCTCTTATCTAATCAATTTCAGACATTTCAGACAATCCATTCAGATATCCAACCATTTCAGGCACTTGACAACAAGATACTGAAGTACATAAAGTCTGAAAAAGGAATAGGCAGAAGTTAAGGCTTATAGGCGCCTACCCTTTAATGAAATATTAGTGAGAGGGGAGAAAACATGGCCCGGTTTCATCTTTCAAATCTCCTGCAGGGCACAGAGTCTGGTCTCCAGGTTAGAGGGTAGAGAAAATATGGGCTTGTGTGAAAGACAATGGCTGCATCTGAATTCATCAAAACGTAAAGTAAATAGCTTAATATCAAAAGAGAAACTAAAACCCAGGGACAGGAGTTTAGAATTAGCATTTGTCTCTGTATGTGTCGCATCTTCGGCTGTAATATCAATATTCTTAAAAAGGGGTGACACTTTGTTTGTTTGACACTAAGCTGGCCTTACAAAAACATATCCTTCTACATTCACATGATTACTTCAGATTGCAAATACTGAGCTTTGTCCATCGCTGCAAGATTAAAATGTGCAGAAAAGGCCAAACAGTTAAAACATGATTCAGGTCTGGAGCTGAGGACTTATTTTTACCGTGTTTCTGTGTTTCAGCTGCAAACATATTATTTTCTGTCATTTTAATACAGTTTTTTGTTATCATTTTTTGCTTATGATTATTAAATGGATTGGTCCAGGTTTACCCGACTGGACACTTCAGTTTCACCGTTCTTTTTATTTTTTATTTTTAGTTATGTTCCATTTCAAGTGACACTAAAGGTTATTTTCCAACGCCAAAGCACCACCACAATTGTAAAAAATGGAAAACAAATGGAACTGAAGGTAACAAAATCACAAAAGATGAAAAGCAGCAGTTTCAAGATCTTAATTTTTTTTATCTCTTGGGGAAAACATGGACATGGGAACAGAAAGTCAAACTCTAACTGAATATAAAAAAATATACAAATCCAAACCATGACCATAACTTTGAAACCCTAGTCTACTTTTGAGTCCCATTCTGTGAAACTCATTCACATACATGACAGGCTTAATATTCAATTCAATGTTATTTTGTACAGCCCTAAATCACAACAGCAAAGGACTTATCAAAGTTGCTGATTCCTCAACAACAGATCAGAGAATCAAAGAGTCCAAACACAGGAAATGCCATAATAACAAACACCTATAGGTCCATAGGGAGCGTCCATAAACGTGAATAAATGTCCTTAAATGTCCTTAAATGTCCAAAGATCATCACTGACCTTTGACCCTCCTGATATGTGATGTTACACCCATTAGGAGAAATATTTAAATACAGCCTTGGCAATAAAATTCAATAAAATGTGTGAAATTTCTCCATTTTGAGATCAATATAGTTCTCAATATAGATCTTATCATATCTATCTTCAGCACATGGCTCAGTTAGAATACTTACAAAGCTCGGGTATCGTGGTCATTCCATGCATAACACTGCAAATCCCAACTTTAGACTTTGACGAGTCCTCGGGAATGCCCACAGACTGACGCCGGAATAAGTGTGCCTTAAGAAAACCTGAATCTGCTCCTGTGTCTCCTCCTTCTACACCTTCACTATGTCAACAAGTCTAATGAAAGAAGCAGGTCCAGGGGCAAGGTCACAAGAACAAGGCAAGAAGTTTAGCATGATGTGGGGAGCAGCAAGGTGACTTTTTCATGAAGCGCCGTGGTGGCAGTGCAAGAACAAAGCAGCTTTCATGGATTGGAAGATTTAGTTACATCACTACAACCTCTAAATGTCCCGTAAGGCAAAGAAGGGCTAGATTATTGGTATAGCACGGTTCATATACAAGGCAACTCAACAAAACACACACACACAAGGTATTAAAATCATGAATAATCGCAGTACATTTAACAGAGTGAAGATAAATCCACAGCTAAATAGAACTGTTTTTAACCTGGATTTGAACATTGTCAGAGTAGAAGCCTGTTTCACATTTTCAGGAAGACTGTTCTAGATTATAGCTACATAAATATGAAATGCTGACTTCTCATGTTTAGTCCTGACTCTGAGACCAGCAGGAGACCAGTCCCTGTGCTCCTCAGAGTCCCAGCAGGAGGCCAGTCCCTGTGCTCCTCAAAGTCCCAGCAGGAGTCCAGTCCCTGTGCTACTCAGAGTCCCAGCAGGAGGCCAGTCAAACAGAAACTACAAAAATGAATGGTGCAAAAAGCCCTCCTGGGGACGGACATTGCAAATTAGCCTTGGCTATAAATGTTGTAGAGTTTCACATGTTGATTGTGAAACACTTGTCCCTATCAAATAAATCATTAAATAAATATCATGTTGTGTTGAAAGTGAAAAACTGCATTTCCGGTGTTTATTGGTTTGATTCTCTGATCTATGTTGGTGAATCGACAGCTTTGTGAAGTCCTCCCAGATTTAGGGCTACAGAGTGTGGTGCGTCAAATAGTCCTGATGTCCACATGTTCTAGGCTTCAGCACTAACTGTATGACACTCACAGACAGAGTTACTCCAGGTGCACGTCACAGTCGTCTTTGGATTCCAGGAGCCTGCAAAACCAAAACATACAGCCTGTAAATTCCTTATTCCTGAAAACATATGTTGTGGATGTATTTGATTGTTCTGAACGTTGGTCGGCTTTGGTTCTGTCCTACTTTAAATGAATTGGATGGATTTGCAGTAATTGTCACTGTCACACAGTAGTTTGTTATTGTGATTATGAGTATTACTAGAAGCAGACAGACAGGTATTTATTTTTTACACCATATTTTTAGTAGTATTTTGGATTTCGGAAATTCAGGGTAACGGTTGTCCTTTCTGAGTTTAACGTATTCTGTTTTTGAAAGCAGTGTACATACAATAAGTCAGTTTTCTATCATTTATACAAGAAAATTATGTAAAAACAAGGACTGTAATGAACATTTATTTGTATTATCGTTCAGTTGTTTAGTCTATGTTAGCTTCAAAAACAAAATAATCAATTAATAATAACAACAATAATTTAGCATCAGGTTTTTTTAGTGATTCTTTGGACATTCAAAGACGCTTCATGGCATCATTCTTTCACTCCATACGTGGTGGTGATAAATTACTACTGTAGCCACATCTGCCCTGGGGCACACTGACATAAGCGAGGCAACCAGTATGTGCCATCGGCCGCTCCCGCCACCACCAACCATTCACACACACACCAGACTCATTCTAATGTGGGTGAAGTGTCTTGCCTAAGGACACAAGGACAGTTTACAGCCGCCCCACTGTGGCTCCTGGTGTTCCCAGAGGTCTCCCATCACAGTACTAACCAGGCCCTGCCCTGCTTAGCTTCAGAGGTCTGACAGGATCTGGTTTTCAAATGCAGGTAGCACCATGAAGATGATTTAATATGAATAGATTGACTTACAACAGGCCTGTGAACATGTATGGGAATGTCTGTGGGAAGCCAGGTATAGAAAATGTCCTAGGTTCAGAATCTCATCTCTCTGCTGTTTCGGGCCCTGAAGTGGTCAGTGATGCTTCTCTCTGCACTCACGCCTGCTCCTGGGCCTTGAGTGCCTTCTTGGCCTCTCGTCTCTCGTGGTCTGCGGAGATCTTCTTGTAGCAGTACGCCAGCACCACGATGAGCCACAGCTGCAGCACCACGATCAACACGAACATCATGATCTCCGCGATCACCGCCGTCAGCTCCCGATTGGCTGAAAAAACACAGAGCAAAGGCCGTCGTTTCATGGTGTGAAGTACAGGACACAAGTGAAAGGTCCCATTTTACGATGTTTGACTTTTCTATGCTTCAAACAAGTGACTCCAACCATGGAAGTTGCAGTAGCCTGAAGATCTGTGGCTCAATTCCCAGGCTTAAATAGGGAGTTGGACTATTCTCCTTTTCTTTAAGACTTACAAACAATATATATATTTGAGACCATGGGTGTGTACATAATATTTTGGACTGTTTGGGAGTTTCATTATTTCTCTAAGACCATGTGAGGCCCCGGCACTGATCATGTGACCAGCACCAATCTGTTTAAATCTCTCCCCTTTAACTTCTTTTGCCATGTTTGATAAAGGCTTTTCAAGATTTTTGCAAATTTTGAGTTCATCAGTCTCCTGTTTCAATTTTGAATGTTGGTCTCTCTACTGTTTTAATCATTAAAGTTCTATTTGGCCTTCATACACATGCCCAAAGTTGTTTTTTTTAGGAATAGCATTGCAAACTTTCTATGTTATTGTTGTTATTGCTCTGAAACTAACAAAGACTGAAAACCTGTAAGGATTAATAGATAGATAAACTTTGATTGGAGGGCAGAACAATCCTATGGGAAAGAAGCAATTTTGGCTTTAGCCTTAATCCGAAAGAAGATTTGAACATAGCTAGCTGGAGCCAATTTCCTTATATGGGTATTTGTTCCGACGAAGTGAGCTTGGACATTGTTGCCTTATCAACCGTTGCCTCATCAACCGTTGCTAACAAACAGTTACTGAGCTAGCGGGAAGAAAATAAAGTTACTGAGCTAGCGGGTTAGCATTGTCCATCTATAGACAGTCTATGGCTGTCACATGAACGCAAACTACTTGTAATAACAATAGTTTTACTTCTGGGACATGTCACAGACCTACAGCCACCACGCTCAGCTCCACCACCTTCTTCACGGTGACCTTCTCGTTCCTCACTTGGAGCAGGAGCGTGCGGTGGAACGTGCACAGGTACGCCCCGGTGTCGTTGAAGGTGACGTTTCTCAGGGTCACGGCTCCGATCTGGATGTCCTCGTGGTTGGTGCCCTGCCACTCCAGGCGCCCGCTGAAGTCTTCATGGAGGACGTCGGCGGTCGGGTGTTCGTAGTGGAAGATCTGAGGAGACACAGGGGAGGATGTACGCGGTCCACAGATTGAAAGCAGTGGAACAAAGAACGAAACCAGGACAAAAAGGTAATACACAAATATATAACATGGATATTTGATTCTGATGGTTCTGAGTGGATTTTTTGTCCATGTGATACCAGAAAACATCATAACATCAAAAGACAGACATACAATAGCTGGCATTGGATTTTAGTTTTTCATTTGTGCCAAAATGCCTGTCAGTAAAGATAACCCTAACACTAAACTTTTCTATAAAATAAGACATAAGTAAGGGTAAATACGTGGGAAAAGTGGAAGGAGCACTGAGTCCTGACTAGAACCAGGAAGTACCATCAAATTAGTCCTGGTCTGAGATCTCCGCTTCCTGTGGCAGAGAATAGACTTTAAAGCAGCTCTGTTTGTTACAAGTCTCTCCATGGCCTCGAACCAAAGTACATCTGTGACATGTTAGTGCCATATGAACCAAGGAGGACTCTGAAGAAGCACAGGGACTGGCCTCCTGCTGGGACTCTGAGGAGCACAGGGACTGGCCTCCTGCTGGGACTCTGAGGAGCACAGGGACTGGCATCCTGCTGGGACTCTGAGGAGCACAGGGACTGGCCTCCTGCTGGGACTCTGAGGAGCACAGGGACTGGCCTCCTGCTGGGACTCTGAGGAGCACAGGGACTGGCCTCCTGCTGGGACTCTGAGCAAGGACTAAACATTTGGATGCAGTGTTTCGGAGGATCTTGAAACATTGACACAATCGCCTGATGTTATGGACTGAGACACATAATAATCCTGTTTCTTTTGCACAGTGGGATCCTGTACCTCCCAGAATGCATCAGATTGTATTGTGAGAGTCTCTGATGATGTTCTTGGCCTGTCTAATCACCGACTGCTATTTATGCAACTAAAGTCTGCAACAGTCTTCCTGAAAATGTGAGACAGGTTTAAACTTTGACAATGTCCAAATCCAGCTTAAAACTGTTCTGTTTATCTGTGTATACAACTGAAGGATTGTATGTTCACTCTTTTCTTTATGTAATGTGATTATTCATGAGTTGAAAGCCTTGTGCATGAACTGTGCTGTACTAGTTGGATCTATTTTATTACACAGTTCAATGTTTTGTGGTTTGAAAGTAGATAACCCCAGCTTTAAATATATGTTTTAGAATGTTGCATGTTTCATAGTGATATTATTTTTGCAACAATCCAGGCCACACACAGATGGGACCACAGCCGTTGTACTCACGTGCCTGAACTCCGGCTCTCCTTGGGGCCTGAAGTGCCAGTCCACAGTGGTCCGGGCCGAAACCTCCTCTCGGCGCTTACAGGAGATGCAGCCCAGGTAGAAGTTCTCTCCAGCCACGGCCTCAGTCATAGAGTCCACCTCCGCACAGGCACCCAGGGCATCAGCCACTGCCCCCAGGGAGAACAGCAGATGCTAATTACTCTGACTCAATTTACTCTGGGTAATAATATAATATAGCGTTGGTAGGGCTAAAATATTGAGATTTTTGTTTTGTTTTGTTTTATTGAGCTGTCGAAGTCTAATTTTGTAAAACAGAGAGTTAAATTTGTAAAAGTGAAAATGATGGGATTCAGTTTCAGTTTATTATTATTATTATTATTATAGAAGTAAATGCACCCATTGCATGTTCATGATACATGATACCATAAAATATATCAATGAATCTTTTGTGTGATTTTAATGTTTTAATTGTGATTCTGGTGTTTGTTTTATGTGATGATTTGTGATGTGGACTGTGAAGCGCTTTGTGTTGCCCTGTGCATGAAAGGCGCTCTACAAATAAACTTTGATTGATTGATTGATTGAAGTTCAAGTTCAACAAACTCATTCAGTTCGGTATCCGTCCAGGATAGACTGTGACAATGTTTTCTTAAATACATGGAGGAATACACAAGGAATTACATATATTTTCATCTCTCTGCTGAGATGAAATGACAGACATCTCTAAGTGAGGGATTTTCTAACTTTTGGTAAAATAAATGTACTCTTAAACTATGTCTAGTTTTTTTAAGTTGAAAATGCTTTTGAACATGATTTGAAGTATTTTATAGTTAACAATGTCTTTAAGTTTCACAATATTTGTTTTTAGAAAGAATGGATTTGTATGACCATAATATCCTACTTTATTTATCAGGCGAATGGCATGTTTTTGTAATGATACAACAGAGTTAATTACAGTATTAAAAGTAGCTCCCCATATTACCGCATACACAAAGGTACAGAAAATTTTAATCGAGTTCTAACATGTTTCTACAGGTCAAGAGGAGCCAGCTCAGGCGGATCAGGCATCTGAGCCCGGCTGGTCAGTTTTTTTAACCCCAAAATGATGAGTGTGACATAAGCAGGAACTGAGCTGGAGAAGTTTCCTTGATTGAAGTCAATAGAAACCAGAAAGAGTTGGAGCAAAACATTGCCCATTAGCATCTCCCTAATGGACTTCATGGAGATAGGCCAGGGTTAGCGTTGTCCATATTGTCTATATACACTCTTTGATGTGTATCTACTCTTACAAGTTCTGAATGTTTTGTGACTTGAGTAAAGTTTTTAAATATCCAAAAAACTTGACATGCAAGCAAGTTCTGGTTTTTACACAAATTGGTTTCTATTGCTCCAAAATGCCAACTCTTTTTAAAATATCTAATACATTTGGTCAGCTTTTAGAGAAACAGAGTAAACACATATTTATCTGAATATACCAGTTATTAACAATGTCCTGGAGAAAAGATAGAGAGTGGCGAATGGAGAGGACATATGGAACAACAAGTGCATTTAAAGGAACTCCTTGAACGCAGCAGGACTCACCAAACAGACTGAGCACCACCAGGAGAGGAAGCAGCCTGCGTCTCATTTTGGCCAAATCTGCTTTTGCTCACATTACTGCCAGTCTACGGTCCGTGCTGCTGGAGAGAGAGAGCAGGTGCCCGTCCAGTTTGTTGAAAAGTCGAGCTGTTCGCGGTGGTTTTGGGTCCCGCGTGTGATCCAGTCTGACTATAAGTTGGCTAAATTTAGAGTGTGTGAACTGGAAGAGACGCGGCAAGTGTCCAGAGCCAGCAAGAAATATGAGAATCGGGAGATACGATCCACGACGGCGCTCACTACTGACTTCTATCTCTGACTTTACACACACTTATCCTGCTTTTTGTGTTGATTCATAATAGATTTCTTCTTGGTATTGTGTGTTGCTCACTATCTCGACCCACAGCCAGATTAGCTCTCATGCAAAGCAATATCAGGTCTGTTTTGTTAGGCAAATGGGGAACCTTTGGACAGACTGAGGACTATGGTGCAGACAAAAGGAAGTGAATTTTGTTTTCTGTTTGTCTACAGAATCAAGGTTCATTTTTTTTTTCCTCAGGGCAACAATCCCATTTTAAACAGCCCAATCTTGCTGCTCTTTATCTAATAATTACTTGAATTGATTTGATTTTCCTGTTCATAAGTGTTGATCACAAGGACAATCAAAACATGTTATATTTGTAAAAACATGGGAAATAATAATGCATGTTAAAAATAATCTAAAAACAACTTCTATTTGACCGTTTTCCCTACATTCCCTAATTAAATGTTATGTTTTGGCTCAGACTCCTGTGTGGCCTTGCAGTTGCGGTCTAAAAAACTCATGCATCATTATTATTAACCAAATTAATGTTTTAATTTTCTGTAATTCATTCTTTGAGCTACAGGGTTAACATTGTCCATTTATGCTTACACATCGGGTTGTTTGCAATTTGCAGTAAAACCACATTGGAATACATGTGCAAAAGTACCCCAGTGTGCACCAGACACGTACATAAATAAAACCAGCTAAAAATAACGGTCATTATAGGATTATCTGAGTCATAAAACCTTACGCTCAGCATGTTTAAGTTGATGATTGGCCTTTGAGCCTGAAGGTCATGGGTTCGAGCCCACTACAAGACCTTCTCCACCGACTCCCACTGAGGTCTGCTGTCCTTGTGTCCATGGGCAAGACACGTAACCCCACTCTGCCTGAAGCCTCCGCTGAAAGACGAAAGCTGTGTTGTCCTCCTGTGGACTCATGTGACTTGGGTGGCATCTCTGACTGCCACCCCCCCTCGACCTAACATCAACCTTGCTTACATTTTGATCCTTTGATGTTGGCTCTTGCTATCTTTGTGAAGCAGAATTTATATTGTTCATCCACGAATCGGGCGGGAACGTGAGCTGGGTTGAGAGCGTAGTGAGACAGGTTAGTTTTATCTACAGATGGTGAGTTGTTGCATGAGTGATCTATGCCTACACATTGGGTTGTGTTTTGATAATTCTGTAGTTCATTCTGCTGTCAATATATGATTATCTGAGTCATAAAACCCTCTTCTCTGCATGTACAAGAGTCTGTGTAAGGTTCAAAAACCCATTTAATAATTCAAATCGCTATTTTAATAGTCAGTTATCTCTTTGTCACCTCCTTCAACCATGATATACAGTAAATACAGTATTCTTGTCAGCCAGGATTATACTGTATGTCTTGATATATATGTCTTGGTCCACCATACATACTCCATCAATGGCAACGTCAACCACAGAGTCAAGGCTACACACACACCACACACACACACACACACACCGGTTATTACAGTGACGGATACATTACTGCGTTTAACCTTTTCGGTCTTATCACCAGGGCGGAGATCAGCTTGTACAGTATAATACCAAGGCTTTGTAAATAGACCGGTGAATGTCCCGCAGGCCAGAGCGGTTTTGGGAATGTGTTCAAGGTAAAAGGAAAGAAGATTAAGTGTCTTTGGGACCGGGTCATGGATATTGTCATGTGATTTGAGCAGATGACACACACACAGCTAATGAGCTAATGTGAGACAGGCCTCCTCTCTGACAATGTTTAAAACCAGGTTAAAGACAGTTCTGTTTAGCTGTGCATACAACTGAGGGATTTTATATTTTTTTCTTTGTAATTCTGTGATTATGATTTTAATGCTTTCTTATTTTGTTCAGCACTTTGAGTTGCCTTGTGTATGAATTGTGCTGTACAAATAAACTTGCCTTGCCTAATGACAAGGCTCTGGTTTAACCTTGACAACAGAGACGCAGCCACTTCCAACAAGCGGAAGCGGAAGAGCTGGATGTTGGATTTTGTTTTACAGCTGGTATTGATGTGGGGTTTTTTTGTGTTGTGGGTAATAATTTCAAACGTATGTACACAAAATAAAGCAATACATAGGATTCTACACAAGCAGTAATGTGCATGTGGGTTCAGACTAAGGATTCTCCTGCTGAAAACATGAAAACTGTCAAATACTTGCACGTTTTTAAAGGTATCTAGGAGGATTTTCTACTTTCGGGTGGATTGTCAAGACTCCAAATGTCATCTACTTTGTTTGTTTAAAAGTGGAGAGGGCGGTTCTTTCCTAAAATTTGGAAAAAACCTCAAATACCTTTAAGTGAGAGTGTGTAAATATTATTAATCTATGTTTTATATGTGTCCCCAGATATTCGGTCACTGTGTGTACATGTAGACACAATTATTCACAGAAAAAATATAAAATACCTGTATAGATTGGATTAAGCAAACACTTTCTAACTATTCCAATCCCCTTTCACAAATTCAGACACAAGGCACACATACAATACAATATGATTATAATAGAAAGACAAGACAAGAAACACACACACGCAATTGAACCGAATGACACTTGACCTTTTCTGAACCAAAAATCATGTAATTACCTCAAAAGACCACTACACACTGTCTCTTTAAGAAGCAGAAAAGTATAACCCCAATCTGAATTGTGGATATTTCAAGAGAGCGTTTAACATTCTCTTGGATTACTTTGGCTCTGGGCCTTTTACCTTTTCCCCTTGATTCTTATTCATTGATTTCACTGTCATTTTTTAAAATCTATTTTGTTTTTAAGTTTGAGATAATCTTGCACATTTGACTGTCTTTTAGTGGTTTGACTTTTATTGATTTGTTGTACAGGACTTTGTTTATGAAATGTGTTAAAAATAAAGTGTCCTTGATTGGCTCCTGGTGATATTAATAATCTCATTTTCATAGGTTCACATTGTAGGATTCCACATGTTTTTTCTTGAGTTTATGTATAGCTTTTTTCTATACCAGATATAATCGATCAGTACTTTAGAGTCTACATAAGATACAGCTACAGCACTAATAAACAATTAGCTTGGATTTCAAGCACCATTTCATTCATTTTGATTATTGGGAGCTTTCCGGGTTTGATCTCACACAAAAATGTCGGTCTTAAATATTACTTTCATTTTGTACTATTTATTTAACTAATGTTTTATGGCTTATTATTTCAAACTGTTCAGCTCTGCACATTTCTTTTTGCAGTGTCTATCATGTGCTGTGTAGACAAACTGGATTGAACTGAAGTGAAAAATCTTCTTGAAATATGTGTTTTTTGCAGGCATGCTGGACTGGACTTTTGGTATAATAGGAAGAGGTTGTAATTAAAAAAAAAAATGAAAAATAATGCTAAACAAAAGAAATACTTGTGTAAATACTGATAATAAAACCATACAAGCACAGAGACTTAAACAGCTTATTAAAAACACTGGGGCCATATTCACTCTATGGGCAATATGTGATGTATTTTTCCATATCTATCCATTCTAATTATGAGCAAAACAAACACACCCCTCTGTGTTTACCTTTATGAACCTGCACGCAGCATAGAGCATATCAGCCATAGTGACACACCTCCTTTCATGTTATGCTGCTGTTTTTTTAATGTATTTTTAGCCTGGATCAAATTTCCAAGTCCCAGAATCGGCAGGCACACCATCAGCACAACACCATTCCCATCTGGAGCGCACAGTCTGGTCTGCTTGCTTGGCTGCGTCGGCAGAGGAGGGAGACCACTCTTTTTTGTGTGTGTGTGTGTGAAGTTGGAGCAAAGAGAAGGGAGAGTGGGAAGCTAAACAAGGAGGCTCCAATGGGAATTAGTGGATACCGGTATAAAAGTGCTATGTCACTGTGATGCTCTTTTGCCCTTGTGGAGAGAGGGGACTGCTGTGGAGAATGGACAGCGCCAACAGAGGTAAATTCTTCCTTTCTTTAGTCAGTTTTTACATTGAAAAATAATCTTTGATATGAGTAGAAACCGCTTTTTGGTCAGTGGACAGAGAAGCATCTTCAATGTCAACAGGAATTCATGTAAATAATGGAATATGCAAAGCTTTCAGGTGCTTTTTCAGACTATTACACACTACACAATATAATTTATTCAGCTGAAATAATGGAAGATTGATTATGTTGAGAATGGATGAATGGAAAAATACTTTTGTCTATTGTTTATGTGTTGTAGGCGAGATATTGGACTCTATTCAACAATGACAATAAAGAAACCGTTAACAAAACTATCTCTGTTTGAACTTCCAGTGCAACTTAAGTTAAATAGACCAACCTCAACGTTACGAATGCCATGTCTGCACGTTTAGGTAACTTAATCGTATCATAAGTAACAGAATATTATTATTTGGTTTATTTGAGAAGGGACAGATACAGAAAACACAGACAAACTGTAATGTAGTCTAATGTCTGCATCATGGTGCCAATTGCCAAAGCTAATTCACAGCACTTTCTGAATTAAATAACATAAATTATGATAATACTTTGGCCAATTTTGAATCTAATGAGCCATAACTTTGCAGATAACACGATAAAGAGTTGCTGGTTATTTCATTACGAGCCTGACAAGGGGAAAAGTCCATAATGTAATTACGCGGCAACAAGGCTTGTTCTTACCATAACATGTCTCTTTAGGCTTTGGGTTGTTTCAGCAGTTTGAATGGATGTTGTTCAGATGCGCTTACCTACACATTACTAAACAAATTACATTTCCT